TTGTGTTCCGTGGTGTGGTGTGTAGTGTGTGTGTGTGTAATATATATATATATATATAATAAATATATAAATCACTAACAGGAACACAAACTTCATAGAAAACCATATGTTTTGCTAACAATAATGTGGAATGTATAATTACTTTTTAGTTATTGTTTTACAGATAATCCTTAATGATACATTTCAATACACATCTTCTGAAAAGGCCTTTGCAACCATTATTTTTTAAGTTTGAGAGTTCAAGTGTTACAGTTCAAAAAGTAAATATTCTTCACCAGCTGTGAGCAAGTCACTCTCATGCACTTGTACATAATAATATGTTTAAATTACTCTTTTTTTTTTACAGCTATTTGTTAATACTTTCTTTCTGTGCATTCTTTCAGGAAGGCTGAAAGCATAAAGTTTAGTTCTCACATTTCCTGTGTTGACTGTAGTATTATATGCCAATAAATAATATGTAATAATACTCAATCTCTGATTAGTTTTATATTTTTTATAATTTGCTTGCTCTCTGCCTTACTGACAAACATATTCAATGTTATACTTTAAATCCACATGCAACATGTTAATATAAGGATTTTTTTAATCATGTCACACGATTATTTGGTATTATTTTCAACTGTTTTGTCTTATAGATTGTTTAAGTTCAACAGCTTTATTTTTACTTTTACTTTAATACTTTAACCATGAATTATTCTGTTGTAGCTTTTATGTCATATAGATTACTGGTGTCTTTACCTCTTGTTATATATATATATATATATATATATATTACAAACTGATAATTATTTTAGGTAAATATGACTGAAAACATATCTTTGCAGGAATCATACAACAGATCTGTGGTGCTTAGTCCATTGAATCCATTCACAAATTATTCTATTCGAGTGGCTGTCAGTAATCATTACTCCAGAGCTCCATTAATCTCTGCATCTGCTGTAGTCTATCAAACAACAGAAGGAGGTTAGTTTATTTTTTGTGTGTAAATCTCTAGAACTGCAATAGTAAATAGTATCAAAAATAGCACGTATTAAGATACTGTGCAGTTTTCCATATTTTAATCTAATAAGTCATCAAAGTGCTTGCACTTTTTGTGTTACGCATAATCACATAGCTTGCTACACCTTCTCTTATTGATTGTTTTTGTTTGTTCCTGTAACATTGTAATTGCATACTTTGCTCCTCTTCTTTTATTTGAGAGTGATGGAGCTCTTGGTTTCCAAAGCCTAGTCTTCTCCTTTTCTTGAGGTTCTCTCTCTTATCGGCACTTGGGCTTCCATAGAATCCCTCATCCCTTGGGATCCCGCACACATATGTTGCCTTCAGTGGGTGCTGCACAATCAATGGAATCTCATTTGGGATCCCTTGGACTCCGCCATCTCTCTCCATCCCCTACAAATCAACTTCGTCTGGTGGTTCAACAGGGACAACACGATAGATGTTCCCCTGCCTCCTTCCTGTCTTGATTTGCACCACTTTATAGATGCTTCTCTTACAGGATGGAGAGGGTACTTGGACTGTCAGGATATAGCCGATCAATGGTCAAATCTTCTCTACACATCAACCTTTTAGAACTCCTAGCTGTTCGTTAGGCTTTGGATCATTTCATGCTGGTGGTACAGGGCCACAATTGAAATTTTATGTTGGGTTGTTGTAGTAGCATCCACTGCATCTGTTAATGTAACAGTATAGCTGTAAATGTAATTGAAATTGATGTTTTATTGTTTTAGTAGTACCAACTGCTTATGCTAATGTAATGACACAGCTGTGATTTCAGTTGAAAATTATGTTTTTGTAGTGCAAATTACTCATGTAAATGTAACAGTGTGGTGTAACTTCATCTGAAGTTGATGTTTTATAAATGTGTCACCAATCTCTGTCATTATAACAGTAAAGATGTAACTTCAAGTTTTATTGTGGTTGCTTTTGTCATAATAATGGTATAGCCATAACTTAAACTGAATTTGATATTTTGCTATTGTAGCACCTACAGCTCCTGTCAATGTGACAGCGGAGGCTGTAACCCCAACAAATATTCAAGTAACTTGGTCACAGCCAGTTCAGCTTAATGGTCCCTCTGTTTGGTATGAAGTGCGAAAACAGAAAGTAGTTGACCAACATTTTGGTCCATTAGACCTAACTCACCAGCACTCTGCTACCTTGGAGCATGAATATTTTACAAATCTGACTTCTGTGAAACCAGCTACCACATACAAAATTGTAGTAAGTATCTATATAGTTGGAAAAAGTGAATAACAGAGATGTGGTAGATTCTTTGTTAGAGATATTTTATGAAAGTGTAAAGTGTGATTCCTAAATTAAGATTACATGGTGAATAAATTGATATTTAAAAAACAAATTTAAAATGGTAACAAGGATTAACCCATCTTGAATATTACCAATATGCATGAAAGTTTTTATAAAAAAATATTAGTTATTAAACATCAAGATTTCATAGAATATATATATTATTGGTTTTTTAACTGTTTTCTAATTTATCTACTAGCTGTAGTTGTCATTAATGTGAGCTATTAGTTAATATTTAAGTATTTTACAGTCAGCTCATATAAGGATAATCATTAAAACTAAATATATTTTTTGTTTTTCATTCTTTTAATGCTAATCAAAATATTCTTGACTTGTTTGTTTACATATAATACAGCTTGTTCCAATTTTATAACTGTCTTATTATCACACACATGATTTCTTGTTACAGCATATAAATTATTATTTCTAGAATTTTATATTTCTTGGAATGAATTATCTTTTAAAATTTAATTTGTTGAATTTTTAATCTAGTGTTTGACAGTTATGTATTCTGTAATTTATAATATCATTTGTTGGTAGGTTCGAGCTTATTCTTCTACTGAAGCCTTTCATAGTGATAGCATACCTGTTAAAGTGACCACCTTGTCTTTTCCTAATAACCTGACACTTGTGGATATCAAATCAAGGTCTCTGACTGTTCAGTGGATTTCTTCTGTTGATAGCAGTGTAGTCCAGCATAGATTGAAATATATTGAGGTGACTGAAGCATAACATGTTATGTATTACATTATCTGTCTTAGAAAATTTGTCATAAAAATCTTTAAAACATTTAATCACTATTGATCAATAGGTTATTTTTTTAAGAAACTGGTTTATCATTACTTTTATAAAGCTAAATAAACCATGACTGGTTTTGTGCAAATTAGATTTTTTGCATTTCTACTATAAATTTGATTGAACTGTTTATTAATCTTTAAAAAAGTGTATCATCTGCATTCTTTTTTGTCAGGAACGAGGCAATATGTGGCACACACTGAAACTGGATGATACAGAAGCTGGTGCAACATACAACTACACATTGGAGAAACTTTTTCCAAAAACAAAATATAACTTCAAACTTGAGTTAGTATATAGAAACAAAATCAATCACACCTTTGTTTGGTTGGAGATGCCTGAGTTTCAGTATGAAACTCTTGCTGATAGACCTGATGTTCCTGACCCTCCGTATGTGAAAAAAATTGGATGGGAAGCATACCAAGTTTCCTGGAGTGAGGTATCTAGTAATGGAGGAACATTCCTTATGTATGAGTTGCAGTACAGGTGAGAAAGAACTGGCTTACTAACACAAAAAAGTTAAATAATCTTGAAAGTAAATATTAACTTTGATGCTATGATCATTGAAGACCAATTGTTTGACTAAAATCTATATAATTTTCTGTGATATTTTTGGTTAAACAGTTAATAACTTTACAAATTCCTCCCTGTAGCTTCCTCTAAACTTCCATTTGATAAATCATCAAGTTTTTTTTACCAGAGAAGCCAACTCTAATGAAAGTGATCTTATATATATTGGAAACCGTGGTGTCTGTCTGAGAGTTCGTCTGTCTCTCGGTTTAAAAGCTACACGTGCAGACAAAGCTCAACATTCACTTTTAAAATGACAAGGGAACAGGCATAAATAATGTTGATACCAAATTTTATTTTGCAAGCAGGGTATTCTACACTGAATTGTTAGGAATTAATCACACTATCATTCACATTTCAAAATGTGATGTAACTTAAAAATAAAAATGTAGATTTACTGTATGTTATTGTTGAGAGGCTTTTAGCATGACTGAAATGCTCAACAATTACTTTTCACAGTGGGTAGTATAAGTAGCTCAGGACTTTAGCTCTGAGTGAAACCAAGAGTCTAACTCAATTAACCTTTTTAAAGTCCATGAAATCATTTAAATTGATAGATTAACTTCCTGTGACTGGGGACGGGTACTTTTGTTTGCATTGTATAACCTGTATATATATTCTAGCTTTGAAAAATTAATACATTCAGTAATATTTATATACTACATATTTTACTGTTTGTATTATAGCTCAAGAATAGTGAAATACCATATCTACGTTGCTAGAGGTTTCAAAACCTTTTTTCTTACAATACTACAAAAGCATTTTGGTTGACCAAAAATGATCGATTTATTGTTTGCAGTGTAAAATATATTAAATGATTTTTAGTTTGCTTTGTTTTATGATATTTATTTATAAAGACATTTTTATTTCCTCAAATAAAAAATATTTGCCTTATTTTTTTTTGCAAAATGTATACATTTTTATCAATGTAAAGAAAACTTATTACATTATAGGAAGATCAGTAGTTCTTCTTATAGGTCAGTCATTAATAACCTGACAGAGGATACTAAATGGCAGACAGTCTACTATAACTCCACAATCCATTGGATCATTCAAGACTTGCCTGCAGGAATGAGTTATTACTTTAGGGTTCGAGCAATGAATGATCTAGGATATGGGAACTTTAGTCGTGAGAGTGAACAGTTTGATTTACCTGCTCCAGAAGGTAATTGTTTTTGGATAACTGAAATTTTAATGTATTAAACTTTGTTAGCTGATGATTTTTTTAAATTGTTTATTTTTTGTGATTCTTAAATGGAATTTTTCTAGTGAGTTTCAGATCAGAAATCATAAAATATATAGCACAGTGGAATCTCTTTCAGAAAAACAACAGCATATGATAGAAATAAATATGAAACCCAATTAATCATTCAATTCACCACTTGTCACTGAGGTATACCCCTCATCAGTAACCCAGAAGAATAAGTTACTAGCATCTATCCTTCATAGTTTTAAAAGTCTATATAAATATAGGTCATAATGATATGAATGAAATAAACCTGTGTAACTGTCTGTATCCTCATACTCGTTGAAAATTTCATTTCAAAGGCTCGATCATAAATTATTTTTGAAAGTAATTGTACTAAGAAATCATCATTACAGAAATTAATGATGTACATTGGTTATTACTGTGTCAATTTAGCCTGTATATTTTCATTCAAACTAGCTTACAAAAGATTCAAGCAATTTAATGTTTTTTAAAATTTCTGAAGTGTAACATGAAATCTACAGAAAACTCGACAACAAACTATAACCTTTAAAGATATCACATATTACAAAATCTAAAATATTTCAGAGTAAATATGATAACTTGCAGTACATATTTTTTAGTTTGTAGAGTATATGTTATTGTAGCTTGTGTATTTTAATCACAGACTCAGTTAAGTTACTTTTAAAGTTGATTAGGATGCACTTTTTTTAGACCAGTACATATTCCTTTAGTGTCTAGAATGCAGATTATTGACAAGACTTATAGTGTAGGTTGTGTATGGAAGTCACAAACTAAACCAAATGGCTTAAAAAGTTGATTAAGATGCATTTTTTAGGCCTTTAAATGCTTCTTTCATTTCTAGAATGCAGGTTATTGTAGGTTGTGTATGGAAGTTACAAACTAAAGTACATCACTTGAGAAGTTAAGATACTTTCCAACTGGAACATCTTCTTTTAATTTCTAAAATACAAGGTTGTAGCATGACTTACATTGTATACTGTGTATTGAATTACAGCTAGACTAAAGCATGCGACTTGAGAAGCTAATAAAGATTCCAACTGGAACATCTTCGTTTAATATTTAGAATACAGATTATTAACATAACTTGTAGACTGTGTATGTGAGTTATAGCTAGAGTGATTATGTTTATTATTGTTTTTTAATCACCATGTAGGTCTTGTTGATTCAGGCAGTCATCATATAACAACTGTTCTTGCCAGTACCTTATCAGTTGTATTTCTGATTGTTATTTTTCTGGTAGTAGCTGTTTACATGGGTAAGTTTTGCTTTGTTGCAAACTGTATTTTTATTCTATAAATATATATATGACTTATAATATAAAACCAAGACGTTGAAAACGGGAACTAATCTTGTTAACTAGAAATTCTTCATTGTTTTAGAAACTGGAATAATCATTCAGCTTTACAGTCATAAATTCTACAAAAGCATTTTACAACCTTAAAAAGAACATAATATGTGCCCTCAAACTCTGAAATACCGCATGGCCTTAAATTCTAAATGCATCTAACATTATAATGTTTCAGTCTTAGAAACAGAAAAGATAACATACACTAGAATGTTATTTTGTCCTAGATTCTGTAAAAAAACAGGTAACGGTAGAAACTGGATCAACCTTTCAGCTCTAGAAACCGAAAAGATGATATAATCTGAAACATATCTTTTTAGTTTGAATGATATTTGATTTTACGTTGAATTAATTTTCTTAAAAAAGTAATAGTGCATTGTTAATCATGGTAGATTACTTTAATAGCACTTGAAATGTTTGGTACTTACAGAACTCTTCTTGGAGCATTAAAACTTGTTTGTATTTTTTTTTTATCTTTACAGTAACCCAAATTTGTGTTTGTAATTTCTCTTATGTGATTGTTTCATCATTTAACAGTATTTTATTAATCTAATTTTTTATATTATTATCTATGATGACTTCCTTCAAGTGTTACAATGTTTCTCTTGTTTATTTCATAGTTTGTAGTTTCCTATAAGTTTTTCTTCCAGGTATTTTAGTATGTTCTCTGTGATCACTTCCAACAGTTTATGTTTTCTGTAAAAAGTCTCTTTAATTCTTCAAGTCTGGATGAAGTAATTCTAAGATAAATACAGTGAAAGATAAACAGAATCTATAATTAACACATGTAAAATGATTATTGTTTTAATATAGAAAACATAATGTCAAGTTTTAGCCTTTTCTGTTTGATTCATTGTCATATCTCTCTTGGGTTTATATGTGTGTGTGTGTGTGTGTATGTCTTCGCTTGTAATGTTTCTGCCTAAAATATTCTGGAATTAGTATGCTACTCATGTTTATTGACATTTTATCTCCAATCAACGACCATGACAGGTTATGTAATAATATTTTAAACATGTATTTTTATATTACCTGATGAGGGTTCTAGAGAAGGGTTAAAAGCTTATCAATCAAGTTTTAAATGAAGAACAAATACTACTTATATAGTTGTGTTATACCACAAAGTTAACTCAAGTCAGGTGGTTAATTATTTCAAGTACAAGTTTCTAGCAGATCCAGGTTGTGTTTCCAACTATAAGATTGAATACATTATATTTTTAACCATGTTTTTAACAAGGCTATTTGATCCAGCCATTCACTTTAGCTTTTGTTTGAGGTGCCAACTTTGAATTAGATTCAGGTTTGTTTCATTTTGTATCGTATTTTATGTTTTAATTACAAGCTCCTTCAAAGTTATTGTAGCTACACAAACAACCTGGTACTATACATGTTTCTCTCTCTCTCTCTTTCTTTTTATTGTGAGGATATGATGAATAACCTATAAGTTAAAATGATATGCATAAGAAATTTGAAAGTCACATCTAATGACTAAGGCTGGTGAAGCCATGCATGATAAAATACAAGATGACATATTACAAGATATTGCTGAAGTATCAAAATACAAGATTCTCTGAGGTTTACTTGTTTCACCAAATTAAAACTACCTATATAAGATTTCAAAATTTTAATACTTTGGAAATATTATTATAGGAAACAGGAAAAAGAAAAAAAAAGAAGAAAGTATTACTGAATATCAATAAAACAGATACATCATTCAAACACATCACTGATTTGAGATTGATTCTCAACAGAGAACTGGGAGATTTCGTTTGGAAGAATTCATGAAGAAATTATTTGAATCTAATAATCCTTTTTTATTGCTATTTTTATTTTCTTGTAAGCTTTATCAAGTTTCCAGTTATTAGCTCAAAAGGCCTGACATGGCCTGCTGGTTAAGGCACTCAACTCACAATTGGAAGGTCTCAGGTTTGAATCCCATCCCTGAACATATTCACTCTTTCAGCCATTGAGGACATTATGTTTGCTGATAAAGTGTAGCCCAAGAGTTGGAAGTGGATGGTGTTGACTAGCTGCTTTCCTTCTAATCTATCACTTCAAAATTAGGGATGGCTAGTGCAGATAACACTTGTGTAGCTTTGTGTGAAATTCAAAAACAAAGAATTAGCTCAAAATGAGGCTGATAAAAGAATTTGTACCTGTTTTTCATTATTCATTAGATGTGTACATTAGCTATTTTGTAGTTTACCATCATGTATTTTATAAAATCAACAGTCTTTTACAATATACTCTATAAAATCATTAATTAGTTTTTGTGTGTTTGTGGTTTCTTCAATGTCTAGTCCATCATTGTCGAGAACAAGAAAAGAAGATTCTACAGGAAGCAAGTACAGACTTTCAGAACCGTGATCTGCAACTTTCAACTCTTCAAGAGTTTCCTCATCCTGGAAGCTTTGTTCACCAAAATAATGCTCTGTATGCTTTGGAGTAAGTCCTCAGCTTCCTTTCAACATTAGAGAACTCATTGTTTTCGTTTAGTAAGCCTGAGATACAAATGTTATCTCACCAAAAGGGGACTGATAGGCTGTTTGGGTGGGTTATCTGTTTTAACCACTTGCAGTGTATTGTCTGCAAGTCAGTCAGTAGACACTAAAATGACGTCACATAAGGGATGCTTAATCTTGCAATTTGTACTGTTGTGACATTAGTAAAACGTGTGCATGCCATGAATCACAAGAAGAATCATGCACTCTGTAGGCTACAACACAGCATGATATATGAACTTGAAAAACAATAAATAAATATATTTGTTACTCTTAATTTCGGTTTTGTTTACTCTTGAAACAGAACACTTTCAGGGACCCTGTTGAAGTACATCTAGTTGTAGTGATGTTAATTTCCCTACTGTTAATTTATTTTTTTGTAACTATTTTGCACCAGTGCTTTTGTACGTCTTGAAGATCTTAACTATCATACTATTTTGAGATATATTAGTTTTAAAAGTTTACAAGCACTTACTGTACTAAAGCAAGGGCATAACTGGGGGAAGAGGGGCTGAATGACCACCCCAATATTCTAAAATGCCTAAAAGGTCCATTATCTTCTGGTTTTTTTTAATAAACACTTGACTTTCATGTAAATCACTTAAATATTTCTGTAGAAGAGAAGGTCCACATTTTTTGGGGGGGAAGAAAGAGCTACCCTCGACTCTGTAGTGCTGGTTATACATCCATATATAGTATATACTTTATTTATTACCATTTCTCATTTATACAGTTAAGCTTATTATTACTATTTTTTTGTAAGTGAAGTAATCCACCCACATCTTTTTATTAATGAACTTTGGGCAATTTATGAAAATAACTTTATAATAAGAAAAAATAAGTATCCTTCTGCTTAAATTTTTGTTTCAATGACTCAGACTTTGTTTGTGTCACTCTAAAATATATTTCATGTATATAATTTATGTGCCATGATTTAAAAAAAAAACATTTTTTGACCAGTTGCATTATTGGGTATTTGTAAAAATTACTTTCAATATAAGACATTTTTACATGATGCATTATGTAATATTGAATAGAAAGAAGTAGTCAAAATATATAATATTTCCTAAAATACAATTTAAAGCTAGTATTAAAATGCTTTAAACTTGTGGTAAATGTTATTTTGTAAAGCCAAAAAACAAACCAAAACTCATCTTTAAGTTGAGAGAGGCAAAGTGGCAGTGTAATAATAAAATTAGTTTTCACTCATTTACATGTGTAACAGAAATATTTTGTATAAAAATTTAATATTTTATCTTAATTCTGTTTTCTTACCAAGTAAAGCACATCATTAAAAATTGAGAACCATAGTTTGTTTTTAAGCCAGTCAACCATTAACAAGTCTGCTTTTTAAAAGTCTTTAACTTCATACTAAAATACCTGCTTTGCAATGCTGACAGAGTATAGTTGATGGCTTGTAATGTATGTTTCACAACTTTAATATTGAAGAATATACAATTTAATAGTGGCAAAAGTGTATTAAAACAACACAACACTGTCCTCTTAATTTTGAATAGATGTAGATGAAAAGTTATGCCCTTAAATGCTGGGTATAGTGTGACAAGAACAGAAGCTAGTCTTGAGTATTTCTTACTGCATTAAAGTTCCATAATCTATATTTGTACAGATTTATTATATGCAGTAAACTAATCTTCATAAATTCCCCAGCTTCACTTCAAGAATTGACTGTATGAGCTTGTGGTAGGATCATTGTGTTAATACTATTGATTAGCTATGGCTTGTAATACATATTATCATTGATTATTAAGCTTGTTCAGTGACAGGTATTTCTGGTGATTTTACAAATACTAACAGACTCCACTAGCTGAGTAATTGTGTATTGTAGTTAGAACACATGACTGATATCACGTTTAAACTTAATTTACAGTCTTACTTGGTGCATATGGCAATAGCCAGCCATGAAAAATCACTGAGCTAATTGCCTGTATTCCCACCCAAAAAAAAACTTTTTATAACAAAAAATAGTGGATATGAGGAGACTGTTTTTGTTTAATAAAATAGTTTACCTAAAAGGTTTCATCTGAATCCTATGCTGTTATAGAAATTTAAATATTTGAGGTTATAAATTTTCAGGATATATGTGCTTTGTTACAGCAATTATATACAGAAATATAAGTCCTCTCATTCAGGGAATACAGCTTTATGATTTGTTTATTTAACAAATTCTGTTTTGGGGAGACTAATCTCATCTGTATGACACTGGAATGGGGCAAGATAAAAAGTTATTAGGCATGGAAGATCTTGTCTGGTCTTCTAGAAACAAAGGACAGGTTTACTTCTCTCACAATAAATACTGCAAACTGGACAGTGCCACCAACATACTATTTGAAATTGGCTCACAAGCTGTATTGCATAAAATTCAGGGTGTCAAATTGTGTTGATTTTAAGAAAGAATTCTGTATCAACTACTTGGAGCGAAATTATTATTGCTTATTATTAGGATTGTATGTACTTCCTTCTTATCAATGTTATTACTTTACCTCACCTGTAAAAAAAAAAAGTAAAAACATATAGAGATTGGGCAGAAGCCTCAGCACCCATTTAAAATCCCTGGTGGACAGTTACTTGTCATCATATACCACAAATGTTTCCTACATGAAAAACGAAAGAACTGGTTGGGCATTTGTTATACTGTGGAGAAACAGAAAAATATTTTATATAATGCTGGTGGAGCATTGAAGCTTTCAACAAGCAGTAAAAAGTTGAAGCTGAAAGCCATAAAGCAAGCTATTCTCTGGATTGCTAAAAGCAATAAACAGTGCCACCAACATAATATTTACAACTGACTCACAAGGTTTATTGCATAAAATTTAGAGTGGTTGATCCCTTTATGGATGGCAAAAAGCAGTGCAACTTGCATAGTAAGACCCTCACCTGGATCTATCTGCCAGGTAAAGCTAAATATGGAAGTTAATAAGTATGTAAGAGAAGCCCATTCATCAAATCTCAACTGGCAGGATATTGACCTCCTCTTCCACATTCAGAGGGAGCCAAACTGTCAGAAAACAAAGTACCATGTGGTGTAGCTTGGAAAAACAAAGGATGTGAAATCAGTATGACAGACGGCCACTGATAACATCAGTAAAGGAGTACTCTTCTACCTTCTACCACTGATCATTGGCACAATCCCTGGGATTGTCATTTAGTACTCAACTCAACTGTAAAATAAGTCGCTAATAAGCCTGGATCAATTTGAAACCATTTGAGCACATTTTAACTGCCCATACATAACATGTCATCATCACTCGCTATGCTTATATGAACTGAGCATTATGATGTTGCTGTAGTCTACAATGACAATAAAATATTTTGAAGAGCACATCCATAGGCTATAGTTTGGTACTAAGAACAGTTTTTAGCACCAAGAAAATAAAATAAACTGTTTTTCAGTGTTTTATTAGGTTTATTTCATAAATGGAAGTTATCAAAAACAAAAAAATTATTTTCCAGGCAGATTGTCTAACTTATCAATGCTTTTTAAATGAATAGGCTATTTGATCTCATTTATAATTGGGGCAGAAGAAATTTAACTGCCATTGTTGTTTGATATTTGTGAGAAACATATAAAAACCAGTACATGTTTTAGTGGCTCTGAGAATATACCCATTTGTTTTCATGTGGATTAAAGTTAGTTCATCTTTTCAAAACGTTGGAATATTATTAATATTTCTTGTGTGATTCTATGTACACTGAGGTGTGTAGGAAGAAGTGATAAACTGGTTTTCTCTTATTTTAAAGCCTTAATTTCTTAACATCTAATATTAATTTAAAATACTTCATACTATGATAAACTTTGTAATTTAGCTATACTGTAAAAACTTAAATTTCTTACTAAAAATGTTTAACAGAAATATATTCTTTTTTTTAAAGGGATGTTCCCATAGATGAAGAGCTTGCTTCCGTACCTCAGATTTGTCGTGAACAGATAGTCTTGACAAAGTTTTTAGGTAGTGGAGCATTTGGAGAAGTATTTGAAGGGGTAGCTTATGACCTAGAAGGAGAGAGCTCTCCACCAACTAAAGTAGCCATTAAGGTAAAAAACGAAGTTATTTTTCAGTTTCTAATTTATTTTTTAATTTTTAAAGCCCTATTACTGAAAACAATTACTTTCTCTCTTCAATTTAATAAATTGTATAGGATTACACAATAATGTTTCAATGTGTAAGATTAAGAAAGGAACATTTAGATCTGAAAAAAAAAGTTTTAATATAGAAACAGTATGAATGAAACATAGCTTTCTGTGTTTAACAAATTACTTATGCAGAAGAAAGCTTATTTTATGGTTATTTGTTGTTGAACATGATGATATGTTTTTATCTTTCATAGTTTTGTTCTGTTTTTAGACTTTAAGAAAAGGTGCAACCAATCACGAAAAGTCTGAATTTATGAAGGAAGCCAAACTTATGTGGTTAGTATTTGAAAAATACACTTTTCTCTTTTGTCTTTCCAAATATTACATTAGTTTTCTTTCCCTTGAAAAAACTAGTGACATCTTTGGCATTTTTAAAACCACCGTGCACAATTAATCTATTAGATGATTAAGAATAATTAGTTAAAATTTACTTATATTTCGAGTTTTATAGGGTGCCCACAAAGTTTAGAACTATAGGGTTATACTATAAATATCCACAATGGTCTCCATTAAACTATCCTCAAAGCTCATTATAATTTAGTTCCCTGTTTATATTTTTATACCCACATCAGTTGCGTGTAAAGGAGGGGGCGAAAGGTGCCGGGGCCCTGGGCATCCAACGCAAAGAGTTGAATCAAATAGTAGAACCCTTTCCGCCATTCCCCAAGGTCTTCGGTACAAGGCCATCGGGCATCATAGAACCTCTGCACACCACTGACCCACATTATCTTTGCTTAAAAAGTCACTTCTTGTAAATGTCACTTTTGTCTTAGTATATTTTCATTGAGAAGTTATAAAACTGCTGAATCATTAATACATTAATAAAAAAATGACACCATTTTCAACTTGTTTTATTTCTGTAAATTAAAATTACAGAGGGCTTTTGCACCATCTTCACTCTTATAATACTAGGAGAGTGCTCTTATATTTTATTAGTGTTAGAGGAATAAAACAGAATAAGCTGAAAACTGTGTCATTTTTTATATGATCTGATGGTCACTTTATCAGGATCTTTGCAAACCTATATTCCAAATAATTGCATAAGCAAAATAAGACTGATCATGTAACATGTCAAATAATTACAGTTAACCTGCAAAACACTGGGTAAAAGCAAGGATCTGTAAGACTGAAAGGGGAGCATGATAGTGGGTGCCTGTCTGTCAGAGTGCCACTATTAAAGATGATTTTATGATCAGCTGTTCAGAGTCTTCTGTTACCATTGTATCAACAGTGACAATTTACAATGAAAATGTATTTCACTAAGGAAAATGGCATTTGCATGATGCAAATGCAATCTCTACTATATTGTTTCATTGTTTTTGAAGGACTGATATTAGCCATCCCTACATTTACTTCCTTTTTTGAAAAGTTTTTTCTCTACTTGTGAATAATTGTTATTTCTAATATCCAAAACAAAATTAGTTTCTCTGTTGGTTATACCATAACGTACTTTTTATACTAAGGCACTATTTACTAAGAGATTTTTACGAACAGAAATTGGTTCTAAAGTAGCTTTAATGTATTTTATAGCTATTAAGAGATATTTTGAAATTGAAATATTTTACCATCTTAACAAACCTGAAAAAAAAATTGTTCACATGAAGTATTTTTTTTTATATTAATATTTTTTTTAAATTTAAAATTGGGTTAATTCGTTCATAAAAGTTCATAAATTATAAAGTGGATACTAAAAACGTACTTTGAAAATGTGCTAGATTTTGTGAAAAATGATGGAAAAATATGAAATGATATGTTTTACAAAGTTGCTTATCATCCATCGGACTTGAATTTTCACAGCAATTTCGCTAAATATGCAAAATTGAATATTTTATTATGTTTCACCTGAAGAATATTTTTTAATTGTTTTCAATATGGAGACCCGAGATCAGAACTAGAAAAAATTGAGACAGTGGTAGTTTTAATAACAATGGTTTCATTTTTATTTAAACAAGTAATATTGGTTGAACATGAGAAACAAAAGGTCCTATTGGCTGTTACCCATTTTCCATCTGTAATAGTTCTTGTGAATTACATTCACTGAAAGTTGCAAATGATTTCAAATCTTAGTTTAGCAGATAACGGTAACTAAAAAGGATCACTGAATGAGGATTCAGTATTTTCCTTACCGTGGTGTAGTATACATTTCTTGTCTGTGCTTTGCTCTCCATATCTTTGGAGCATGAATATAGTAATGAAATGGAAGAGTTAGAGAGAGTAGTAATATGGTTAGAGATGGTGTATTGATTGTATATAAAAGTATCTTGTATGCTTAGTTAACAACGTTTTTGGGTGTAACAGTGGGTTTTCTTTTGCATCAATTCTGTATGATGTTCACTTGCTTTGAACTTTATGATCAGTCAGTGAGTGAACTGACATCAACATTGTTGAGGCTTGTAACAATAAAGCTGTAATTTCTTTTATATACTTATCATGCTGTAAATTTTATTAATTTGATTTTCATTGTTAATTGCTGGAAATGGATATAATGTATTACAAGAGGTATTACAATACCTTATATATAGATAGATATATTCTTTTTTTTTCATGAGTGTAATTCAACTTCAGAAACCTTCATTAGTATTGTACAAAGTTAATATTTAATTTTTTTTGTAACAGCAATTTTAAACATGATCACATTCTTTCTCTTCTGGGAGTTTGCTTGGACAACAATCCTAATTTTATTATTTTGGAGCTGATGGAGGGTGGCGACTTACTCTCCTACCTTCGTTCCAGTCGAAATGCTTCGGTAAGTTCCATGTGTCTCTTATTCTTCAGATATACTGAATTATCCCTAAGAATGAAGCACCAATCAGTCCTGTCTCTAGAGTATAAGTACATTTTTATCCACCTTTTTTTTTTAAATTAGAAAGACATAGCCATGTATGAAATTATTTCTATATGATGTAAGTAAGTATAGCAAAAACAATAAGAATATTTGAATAATACATTTCTTTAGATATAAACATGCAGAAATGAATACAGTTTTTACATAATGATATTCAATTTTATGGCATTTGTCTTCATACCTCCATTGATATTCATTTGACTTCAAGAATAATTTGAAATGTTTCTGTTCATTATGAGTTTCTCCTTCCAACAAACCAATTATACTGGACCCATGAAGCAAAACATTAAAAAAAAAAAGAAGTGAAATAAAGCTGCTAAGTCAAATTTAGAAATTTTACAAAACATTTTAGTGTACAGGCAAAAATAAATGAAAGGTTACTGAGTCACTATTACTAAACTAATAATCACCATCACTGCTTCATTTTGTGTCATTCAGTTTAGTGAAGTCAGAAAGTTCCTACCTGAGAGATAAAAATATCCCCTGTATTTTCATTATTCTAATTTCTTAGAAGCCATAACTACATCTCAAACCAAATTCTAGACACTTGTAGTCAGTAGGTTATATTAAGATCTTTGAATACACTGTATTAAACTAATCACTCATGGTGGATGTGCATTGTGTTGTTAAATTCAGTTATCGTTAAAACTATGATTAAGCTAAACTTATAAACAAAGGATCTTATCACCAAAATTCTTCTTTATGTAGCACAGGTGGGAGTCACAAATGTAATGAGTAAGACTCAGGAGCATCAGACAGAAAAGGGTATAAGATTATGTTAAAAGTCAAGCTTATAACACTGCATATTTCAACTGAGCAACTAATTGTTTGGTTTAATGTCTCATGTGAATTACCAGAACATGGTAGAGTTGTTGAAGAATCTGTCCAAACGAATATTTTGTAAAACTTCCTGAAAACCTATGTATAGATAGATTTCTAGTGTTGTACTATTATTTATAGTGTGGTAGTTGGTGAGTTCCTTGGCATGAATTGAATGCATATTTGTTTGTCTGTTAGTCTAATTGTTTAACAAAATAATGTTTGTTATGATATAAGTTATTTCATACTGTATCCTTTCATTCTGTTCCATAGTTTAGAGTAAAAAAGTGCACACTAAAGTCCACTAATATAATCCTGTAATTGGAATTTAATTTTTGAAGTAGACTGCTATGAATTTTCTACATACACATGCCCTGCATGTCTTGATTTGCTTTTAATGTAACCCAAAATGAGTTGTTATGCAGCATTCAGTTTAGTAGATTTTTGAAATATTCAGGTAAAACTGAGTTTATGTTAGAGCAATGGGATAGATCTGCATAATAACAGGTGATTTGGGCAAGATACCTATTATGAAGTACTGCTATACCCGTGAATAACTAAGCTATGAGAATGTACTAAATAAAGAGACTGGATACAAAGTACAACATTTATTATGTCACATATAAAACACAAACAATATGTTTCTTTGCTTTATTGACTCAGTATGATTTCTTTTACTGGTCCTTCTATCTTCAGCTGACTAAATCCAACACTCCTTACTTTTCAAGAAATGTCATATTTACCTTGTAGCTAGTACTACCCTTGTGACTAGTCATTCTCATTCAAACATAGGTGAAGTCGTAACCTCGAGATATCACCTGAACTGCCATTGTTGACATCATTTCACAGTATGCAAATATGTAGTATCGTATTAATAACTCTTTTTTTTTTTTCCTATGGGCAAAACAGGTATTATCTACTTGAGAATAACAAAGAAACAAAGGCTAGAATGAAATCACCCTAATGGCTTTTTCAACTACATGTTATGTGAAACCTGCATTTATACAGAATATATACTATTTTATTACAAGAAGAAAGAAGTGCCTATTATAAGAATTTACCACAGAATCACAAAAACCAATATCAAGCTCCTGAACACTCATTTTGAAAACTTTTTAAAGCAATTTAGGAACCTACTTACTCATTTGGCATATCCAATTATATATTTTTCAGGTGTTTGGTTTGCAGCCATTAACCCTAGATGATCTGTTAAATATATGTGCTGATGTTGCTAAAGGCTGCGTATATCTTGAAGAAATGCACTTTGTGCATAGGTAAGTTGAACAAGATTTTATTATTCTGTATATTCTGGTTAGTTTTGACACTTGTGTATTCTTCTCCTTTATTATATTAAGCTCAGATTGAACAAAAAAAGTACATAATACAGTATTATGAACACATATGATTTAATTAAATGACTAGTAATTGAAAGAAAATAATTTAATCCATTCAGTATTTCATTTTTCTAGCACTGATGCACCAACATGCATGTTCGTTATCTAACTCTATATTATATTGCAGGACAAATTTCAAGTTTTGTATTATTCTATTCTGAGTGTATCAGTCAAAATAGAAGGTCACTCCTGAAATTGTAGAAATGAAATGTTGAGTGGATTAAAGTATTTCTTATGCAGCTAGTAATAATTTAATAAAATCAGGTAAGCCAAGGTTAGATTAAACAATCTGTACCATGTTGAGCTGAACACTTTAGTTTTAAGAATCATCAGCTCAGCTAAGGTGGTGGTAAGGATTGCTATGCAACAAATGAAAGAATTATCCAGAATGAAAGAGTATAAAGTTGAATGTAAATATTTTTACCATCAAAGTAACTGGACAGATTAAAAACTGAGATTACAGTTCATATTACAAGAAAATAAAGTGAAAAAAACATGCCCAAAACTGCTGTTTAATTCTGTTAAGACTGGGTTTGTGTTCTATAGGGTATCTACATCTTGATAGGGCTGAAATATGAAACATTGAGGAATTAAAGAATTAGCACTGGGTTCTGGCTGTTTCTCTTCATAAAACATGCTAACACTCCAGTGTGCACTATACTACCCAAAGTCCCAAAATTATCTTTAAAGCTAAGAATCCTCAAATACTTCTTTTTTTACAATGAATGAAAAAGTATAAATTGGATTCATAAACTAAAATGACATTGTTGAGCTTACTGCAATGAGATTTTGTTTTACATAGGATGTTTTTTATTGTTGTCTAGTGCATGTATAACAGAATTAAATTAGTGAAAGATGTTATTTTTTAATATACATTCTTGTAAGTGTTCATTATCAAAAAATTAACTTATTGTAATGTATTAACTTAACTGACAGAGACATAGCTGCTCGTAACTGTTTAGTATCAAGTCATGACCCTGCTCTACGCCATGTGAAGATTGGAGATTTTGGTTTGGCTAGAGACATTTATAAAAACGACTACTATAGGAAAGAGGGTGAAGGTCTGCTTCCAGTGCGATGGATGGCCCCAGAGTCTCTGATAGATGGTGTCTTCACTAGTCAATCGGATATCTGGTATGTAAGATCAGTACACTGGCTAGTCTGATGTTTAATATCAATTAGTCTGACAACTGAAACAATAATAAAGAACTCTAGGCCTAGAATAATTGTTATGCATGCAGCTATATCAATTGTCATGGATAATAACATAAACATGAAAAAGGTTTTGTTTGAATAGGATTTATTTTAGTCTAACACTTGGTATGATCTTCCTTATTACAGTGTTATGACAGTAAGTTTACAAATAACTATGAGAAGGATTTTCTCAGAGTTTTTTATCTTAAAATTGCAAATTTTATATTAAGCAAGAGGAAATATACATCTTGAAATTAGAAAATGTGAAGACTTTTAATCTGTCAATGTTGTGACACTGGTTTTCTAGTTTGTCTGAAAGTATGACACGTTATAATGTTCCCTGTACTTGTTATCAATTCAAAACCTTAAAGCATGCATCCATACACACTACAGTGGTGAATACAGAGATGTGTCATACTACCATATGTATAAAAATAATTGTTCATCTCTATAGACTTGTAGACCTTGAAAGATCTCTTTGTAATTGAACTCAGGTTGTTGATAAAGGAGAAACACAAGGTAGTAAGCCTCAGGTTGTTTTAACAAAAAGCAATCACATGATAAAACCTATTATGAAATTATATGATACTGTAGGACTCTGACATTTTAAGAGTGAACAATCCAAATAATAATGAGCACACATAAAATTTGGTGTACACCAACTTCAAGTAAATACTGTTCTATTCTTGGTACATGCACATGGTGACACTTTTATGGATCTAACTAGGAATCTGCAAAGCTTATAAGAAATAACCCCTATATCAAATGTGGCACAACTGTACTCGCAGGATATTGACCTCCTCTGCTCTAGTAAGGTGTGGAGGGTATACATCGATGTTTGGGGGGGGGGGGAGAATTAGACTTCTGGAAAAGAAGTACAGTATGCTGTAGTTGGGAAAAGCAAAATATGGATAGTCAGTAGGACATTATAGAGACAGAAGGCTACTAGTAACATTAGTAAATTAATTCTACCTCCTGCGGGTGTCTCTTAGCACAACCCCTGGGATTGTCACCCAGTGCTCAACTAGAAATGACAGGGTAGCTTTAGTATATTTATACATTGTACATTGTATGCAATTTTTAAAAAGTCAAAAAATTATTACATACTGAAAATTTTACCAACTACAACTGTTTATTTTTTCTTGCTACTCACAGTCACTTGTAATTAAAAATCAGTTTCAAGTTATGAAAGCATTTCTTCAGAAATCATATTCTCTTGTTGTTAGAAACAATTTGATAAAAAAAAAAGCAAATTAAAAAACAAACTGATATAGTGATGTGTAGTAGTATAAAAAAACAGAAATTGTGGGTACTGTATGATGAGGGTTACCAGTCACTGAATAAACACCATATTTATCGACAGTTCTCTTACTTTTGCTAGTGATGGAGGTATTCGAGCACTGAACAAACAACCTTTTAACTCTTAACTTCTTCCACTGTGGTAATGAAAGTGGGATAATCCAGTTTTGCATTTTCATGGCTCGGGATCGAACCAAAGACATCTGACATGCAGACAAATGCTCTACCAACTAAACTAAAGTTTACTAAACATTAAATACACTTCTGAAGATGTATGTTGCTCATTGATTTGACAATACTGTTGAAAACTGTAAAATAACTTTTAAAAACTATTTTCTTTTTTTTTATCATTTATGCTGAGTCAGTTTCAAGTAGTTCTTATACATGGTGTCCCAAAATATACATACCAAAAGGAAAGTTGAATATTATCTGAGGTAACAACAAAATTAAAAACATCTGAAGGCTTATGAGTTTTATTTAATTTAATTATAAGTTTTAGTTAATTTAATTAATGAACTTCTACATGTTTTCCATCATTAGTAATAATCAATCAAATCCATTCAAATTCTGAGAACACATTTTCTAATACAGCTGTAGGGATGGATAAGACTGCATCACGGATACAAAGTTTCTGTTCCTTAAGCTCTCTTGGTTTGTTATGGTAGACTTTTGTTTTCAAAAAGCCCCAAAAATAAAAGTCCAAAGGGGTGAACTCAGGAGTTGCCATTTTACTCAAAACACAGGATCAGTTCTGAAATCTGCAATAAAACACATTCATAAATAATGTAAGTAATGACAATAATAATTAACTTAAATAAACCTTACAAGCCTTCAGAAGATGTTTTGAATGTTGCTATATTCATTTTGGGATGCCCTTTATAAATCCCTTGTAAACCACTCATGTAAAACAGTCTCCTGAATTATCTACAGATATTATTGTACAGTTTAATGACTTTAAAAAAACTATCTGATACATGATAAGGTATTCTAGTAGTGAAGTTGAGTGACGTATAGCCTTTTAGTTTTAAAGAGAACTAACCCAGCATTCATATTATATCCAATAAAAATTTTTAAAGTAACTTTATATTTCCTTTTAACCTTTTGAACCTGTAAAATGTCATTTATTACATCATGTATAGGGCTTTTGGGGTTCTCCTATGGGAAGTTATGACATTAGGTCAGCAACCCTACCCTGCACGTACAAACCTGGAGGTTCTATATTATGTTCGAGGTGGTGGTCGTCTAGACAGGCCAGAAAAATGCCCTAGAGAACTGTAAGTAACACATGTTTATTTCTACTTATTATTTACCAGTATTAGGACTCATAAACACCAAATATGCCCATTATTCTTTTGGTTAATTTCTTAACATAATTAAAATTTAATTTTAAATGGATTATTGGTACATATATACTTTCAGGGATTTTTGAGTATGCCCTACAGAAATTCTAAAACCCATTATTTTAGTGATTTTTTATTAGTTTGACAGCCATTTCAGTTTTCTTCTTGTTTCTTCTGGCTAGTATTACGCACACATGCTGTCCCTGTGAAGCTAATGAAGTAAATTGTGCCCTTGGCACAGGTACCTTTGTTGGTATATATATAATATTTCTAGAGTCTACTAATGTGTATTAAGCTTCTATAGTTTCCTGAAATGTGCTTATTTCTTCTTGGGGCTACTGACATGTGAACAGTGAGTCTATCAAAATTTATATCATGCTTCTAATCTACTGAAATTTATATAATGCTTCTACTGTTTAGACTTCACTGACTGCTCTCTGATGTTTACAAAGTATTGAATCAGGTGTAATAATCTACTGTGTAATGAATGTGCAGATTTACGTGTAATACTTGTAGAATTCTCTCTCTCATATTTTTACTTATGTATTTTCACAATTTATTAATTCCTATTTCAAGTTTATGTTTAATACAGTATATGTAGCACCTATGTTTTAGGTTATAAGCTTGTCTCTTTGATTTCAGGTATGAGCTTATGTTGCTCTGCTGGGGGTATGACCAAGAAAGTAGACCATCTTTTACCACATGCCTTGAAACCTTGTTAGCTCTCCAGCTAAAGTTCCAAAACTCAGTTGTTCACAATCATAACTACATTGGCATCCACAGAAATAGTGAGTTTATTGGTAGTTCAATTGTTTTTTTAATTAATATACCTTTTTATTAAGTGTGAAGTTTAAACTTCTGCCAATATAACAAGCTTTTGAAGAATGCCTGTGTTTTTAAAGTAGTCCTTTTTTTTTCTAAGTAATCTCACAGCTTTTAACACATCTTGATTTTAATGTTCTGTTTGACTAATCTGATAATATATTTTTCAGGGTATATTACAGTTGTATTTGTAATAATCCCATACTTTTTAACTCATCTGAATTATACTTTAATATATTAGATATTATATGCAAATCTGTGTTATTTTCAGGTTGTTTCATACAGAAGGTATTGCAATAGAATTGTCATTTGGCCCCTACCTGCCATGTAGTAATTTAATTATTTTTTCCTCACCTCAGATTTGAACCCGAGATCTTTTGCACACCAGGCTAGCACTTCTACTAACTGAGATAAAGGGTTAACTGACTAGCACTTGCTAGTAAGACACTACTACATTCTTCCTCTTTCACAAACAGTGCTTGTCCTCAGGCATACTTTCAGGGTTTAGGATAGTTCCATGTTGAGCATCACTGTGGTAATTTATATTATCATGATATATGTTTCCTCACCTCAGATGTGAACCTGAGACACAAGCAAGTGTTCTACCAACTGAGCTAAAGGGTTATCTATTACTAATTCCTAGTTAGTCACTGTTAAACAACCCAGTCTACTACAGCAGCATTGTTTATCTTTAATTCAACCAAAACTCTGCAGTGGTGAAATTAAAGCTTGGAATATTTATAAAACTTTTTCTTTGTGACTGCTGTATGTCATTTATCAATGTACAAAGAAATGATATACTATTAAAAACTACCGATACTCAGTTTTTAGCATTATAAGCCTTCAGACTTACCATGTTAAATTACTGGGGGGCATTTTGACAGAACATCTTTTAACCAGCTGTTCATGGGGTTAGTCCAAAGGAACAACCCTGTATTTGACAAGGAATGTTGACTATAATTCCAAATTTTTTATATTTATCTGCATGAAATGTGGCAAGCTTTTAGTAAAATGTACAAGTCTATCGTATATAATAACTTGGTTATTGGACAAAAGTATTTGCACTCGAGATATATCTATGAACTTACAATGTCAGTCTGACCCAGACCCTGACATGTTGGTTAATATTAAGGGTAAAAATATGTTATTCCATTTTACAGTTACATATTGCATTTGTATAACCTCCAGAACCTCCAAAATGCATATCTGTGGTTGTTTTCAGTATCCCTGAATACTGTATCTGGTATTTGCCCTCCCTTACCATGAACTACAGTGTATCTCTCAATATCCCTGTACACTATATATCTGGTATTTGCCCTCCTTTATCATAAACTACAGTGTATCTCAGTATCCCTGTACACTGTATCTGGTATTTACTCTTCTTTACAACAAAATAAGTCAAATGTAGGGTAAAATGAATAGTTGATAACTCTGAAATCAAGTACATAATACAATGTGGAAAGTCCTGATTGAAAGGACCATGGCACATGCTCTTTGATTCCTATCCTTGCATATAGGGTTAATCTGATAATAGCAACTCAAGGACAAATTTTACTGAATAATTTTGAAATTTCTAAAAAAGTGAATTTCACAAGTGGGTGATGTTCAATTTCCAAATTAGTAACTTTCATTTAAACTAGTTTTAAACAAGGGTAAACATAACAAAACAAGTAACTTTCAAAGTTTGATGAGAGATAAGCATATCAAAGCAAATTGCTTTCAGTATTGGATTATTTTCAAACTTTAATGTATTTGACAAAAGAAATTGAGTGTTTCTCTAAACATCTGAAAACTTTAGTCTAAATAAATGACCAAGAAATTGATGAAATAACTCTTTTTTTTTTTTCTGTATAAATTACATGATGGTAATAAGTGGGATTAATTGATGGTATTTTCATTAACTTTGTGTTTTTTTTGGAGCTCATATGCTACTAGGGTCCCTGTAATCAACAAAGCTATGGACCCACTAGGAATTTGATACATAAATAATTTAGGAAAATGTGTTTTAAAGCCAGTAGACTCCATCAGTGTACATTCAACAAGAATAAGCATGGACAAACATATATATACCAACAGGAGCTACATACAAAATTTGTCTTGCACACAAGTAAAAAGTAATTTAACTTCAGTAATATTGATCATGAATTGTTAAAGTTAGGTAGATTAAGGTTTGCTAGTTGTGACTGAAAAAAATGTCTTAACATGTTAATTAGGGATGTATAAAGTATTTAGCCTTTCATTGTAGATACCCAAATAATTCTGAGAGAAGCTTAAAATATTGTAAATATCATCATAAACAGAAACCTAGACAAGTGCATCTCTGTAGTATCATTGAAACCTCAAATGGTCACACATACACTCATACTCAGTATTTTGAACTTACAATAAAGCATAGGAATGCTGTGAGAATGTAGGTAAACTGTCTTTTTTAGTGGTTTATTGTAATAACTGTAATTTTCAAACATATGCATCTTAGAGATAAGAGGGTATTTGATTTAGAGCCATTAAATATTATAAAAAGAAAGAGATCATGTAGGAGACCTTCCAATTATGAAAACATATTTATTATGGTAAGAAAAGTTCTTTAATGTATTCTTCATTGGTATTAATTAAGAGTATGCATACTTTGACTTACATTAGATCACAAACACTCATCAGAACGTGAAAACTCTTGTGACATACATTACATCAAGGAATGTGGTAGCCTCAGTACTTGCAGTGATCCAACTTTAACCAAGAGGCTGAATGTAAGTTCTGATTTGTTTACGATAGTAATTAACTGCACAGTATAAAACCTAGTGGTCTAATGTTGATAAACCTAGTTTCTGCAGTGATTCAGCTCCAATGAATTGAATTTATGTAGATTCTGTTAGTTATAGAAACTGATATGGTCATTAATAATTAATCCTAAAGTTTTAATTGTTACTCCTCATGTGTTAATAAACATAATTATTTTACTAATGTTAATTTGATAATTAATAGACATTATATATCATTTTACTCTTTGTTATATCATTTTAAACAAACTGATTTACTGCTTGCAAGGAATGCAACCTTTTCTTGCTTCTGGTAATTATTAACTTTATTAGGTAACACTTTCTAATGCTTTGTAATGTTTAGCTTCATTATGTAACACTTTCTAGCTCATGGTAAATTTTAGCTTCATTATGTAACATTTTCTAGCTCTTGGTAAATTTTAGCTTCATTATGTAACACTTTCTAGCTCTTGGTAAATTTTAGCTTTATTATGTAACTTTTCTAGCTCTTGGTAAATTTTAGCTTTATTATGTAACACTTTCTAATGCTTTGTAATGTTTAGCTTCATTATGTAACACTTTCTAGCTCTTGGTAAATTTTAGCTTCATTATGTAACACTTTCTAGCTCTTGGTAAATTTTAGCTTCATTATGTAACACTTTCTAGCTCTTGGTAAATTTTAGCTTTATTATGTAACACTTTCTAGCTCTTGGTAAATTTTAGCTTTATTATGTAACACTTTCTAGCTTTTGGTAATTTTTTTATTATGAAACAATTCCTTGCTTTTGGTAATTATTAGCTTTATTGTGAAGCACTTTCTAGCTCCTGGTAATAATTAGCTTTATGATGTAACACTTTCTAGCTCTTGGTAAATTTTAGCTTTATGATGTAACACTTTCTAGCTCCTGGTGACTTTTAGATTTATCATGTTACTAAAAGCTGTTAAAGTAATCCATAACTAAAGAACCTGAATTCTTTATAAGAATTTTCATTGCCCATAACCCAACACTATTACATCTAAAATTACCTTATATATATTTGAAGTAAGTAATAACTTTGAAAGCCATTTCGATTCACTATTCTTATCCACTACTTTAGTAGCTTTATCAAGGTTTGACTTCAAACACCTATATGTATGCAACTAGTCAGTATACCACATTTATTTCCTGTATTCCCAATAATAGAGTTTCAGCAGTATTAGGTCTCACTGCATTCAGTTACTTTATTGGTAAACTAAAGGTAAAGTCTACATATAAAGTATGTTTCTATTCAGTGTTTCACATTTTAATCTATGTGATTCATATTTTACAACCCACTCACTGTACTCAAGGGCCACTTCATATTCAGCTGTGAGACAGTAATACAATGTAACTGAGTTGGAGATGTGTGAAAATAATTATAATGATGTGATTTGAAACATCATTGTCAAATAATTAAATATATAATTATGATTTACAGTCTAATGTGAACCTATAAAGGCCCATTCCTACCATGGTTAAGAAAAAAATCTGATTTATCACCATGAATTTTTTGTTGTTTCTGTCCAAGTTGTATCAGCAAGATGTTTTTTTTACTGTGAAAAAAACTCAGTTTGGTAGCTGGGTGTTGAGTAAAATATTCTTCATATTTCAATAGCAGCTAAATGCTTTTTAAATGTATTTGGTTAAATGGTGTTAGAAACACAACATTTCTATGACTCCTGGTTTAATGATAAGAATTGTTCTCATCAGAGCCTTATTCTTGATTTCTAATATCTGGATAATGCTGTATTTTATACTATAACACGGAGATTAACCCATTCACTGCAGCTGGGACATATATTTCCCAGTGCACTGGGAAATATACATCCCAGCCGTGGTGAATGGGTTAAAATTATTATTGTAACATCTTGATATTGGTTATTCACCATATAGATTAGAGATTGAGCATTAATATCTCGTAGCTTGACAAACTATGTAGAAAGTTTTATTCATTATGTTATTCTTTAGTTATTATCCAGTATTATTCTACATAGCTTGACAAACTATATATGGAGTTTTATTCATTATATTATTCTTTAGTTATTACCCAGTATTATTCTACATAGCTTGACAAACTATGTATGATTTTTATTCATTATGTTATTATTTAGTTATTACCCAGTGTTATTCTACATAGCTTGACAAACTATGTACATAAAATACTGCAAAAGATTTAACATGAAACATGGAGATAAAACTTTCTTTATTCTCAAACAAGCAATAGTTTGGTCTGATTTAAATTAGTGTGTGGCTCCAAGGAAAATGAGTGGCTTTTTTATATTTTTAGAACCAATCAATTCTGTGCACTGAGCAACTACTGCATTTAACTGTTAAAGAAGCCCAAGTTACTGTTCATTTAGTCTTAATAATGATGTCCCTCTTTAAATCAAAACACCAAAAAATATTTATTTTAATTAACACACGATTTATACAATTTATGTCCAGCTGACCATCTCTTATGATAAAAGTTTCTGAAAGGTTAGCTGTATATGCTAACTTAAACTCTCATTTTTGTATGAAAAACTTTCTACACTGTAGTTTTGTTATACATTAATAGAGTTTATTTCTGAATGGAAAGGCAGAATTACTTTACAATAAATAGACTACCTTTAATTCAGTTTCATGATCCTTACTTTTTTTAAATTAAGCATCATGTAACAAGACTCGACATAGTAGAGTTCTTTCCAGAAACAGCACCCATCTAAAGCAGCCAGTGCACTCGGTTTCTTTGCTGTAGAGAAATACTATCTGATAAGAAGATGCACAGAACTAATTTACATATGTCTCATGGCCTAGCATGGCCTGATAGTTAGGGTGCTTGACTCACAATCTGAGGGTTGTGGGTTTGAATCCACATCACCAAACGTGCTTGCTCTTTCAGCCATGGGGGCATTATAATGTGATGGTCAGTCCCACTATTAATCAGTAAAAGAGTATCCCAAGAACTGGTGATGGGTAGCATGGACTAGCTGCCTTCCCTCTAGTATATCACTGCTGAATTAGAGAAGGCTAGTGCATATAGCCCTCTTGTAGCTTAGCATAAAATTCAAAACAAACCAAACCATATGACTCGCAAATACTTTCATCAACATTTTTACCCGTTAACAAATACTAGAAGTGTATGTCTCCCACCTAACGTATTATTTTGAGAACCACTGAACAATACTAATGACATTCCCAAAAATATTGGTCGTACAAAGTGTTTTCCTAAATTTTACTTGGAAGAGCTGAATTAAAGTAAGTGGTTGATAGCTGGATCCTTAAGAAATAGACAGGTGTTTTTGTTTTAAGGGGAATGTCACTGTATAGAATGTGGTATATAAAGAAAAATAAGCAGTGCTGTAAAGCCGTATGAATGAAACAATTAACGAATATAAAAAATCATTATATAAATGAAACCATGACACTAAAAAAACGTTACAATCCTATAAGGTCATAAAAATGAAACAATAACAAAAAAAATGACACTCATGTTAAGCTAAGTGAATGAACCAATGACACTAAAGAAAAGTAATGAAACTCCTGCAAGGATATATGAATGAATCAATGACTATAGAGAATAGAATGATACTCCTATAAAGTCATAAATGAAGCAATGATAAGTTAAAAAAAAAAAAAAGAATGAAATTCTTGTAAGGCTGTATGAATGAAACAATGATTATAAACATAATAATGTCATTCCTGCAAGGCTATAAGAATAAAACAATGAATATAAAGAAATATAATGATACTCCCATAAGGCAATATCACTGAAAAAATGACTATAGAGAATAGAATTTCCTGACTTTATTAAAATCTTTTGCTCAGAAAAAGTATGTTTCAATAAAAAATAAAGACTCAAACACACTTATCATGTTATTCCAATAGCATCATTATTATGAACAGTGTTATTCATCTATTTCAACAAACTTAGAAAACATCCTGTTCATTGTACAGTGTTTTTTTTTTGTTGATTGTTTTATTTACTCAGTTAACTCCAGTAATTTTTTTAGTAATTTTAAATCTTCCACTAAGAGAACTTTTTAAAATAGTTTTTTTTTATCAAGTATATAATCAGCTGTCTAACTAAAATTGTGTTTTGTATTTACTGTAGAATGATTTGTTGGTCCATCAAACAGTTAAAAGAGCTGCCTCATTAACAAATCAACCGTGTGGCTGTAAAAAGGATCACGTAATATCTTCACCTCATGGTTTTCTCATTGGATCTCTGCCAGAGCAGTCACGTTATCTTCAGCTACTTGATGATAATGTAAGTATCACTGACCGGGATGGCTACGAAATACCTCGTTTTCAAACTTCTTACCAACCAAAATTATTGAATTATGCAGAACTAGCTCGATGGAATTCCATTTCATCACATTCTTCAGAAGACATTTCCAGTCCAACAACTGAAGTCAACAGTCATGAGGATAACATGAAACCATCTTCTTCAGGAAGTTATTCTCCTCCACCTGCATACCTACAAGTCTTCCCACAGCTGCAGAAATCCGATAATATGTATCCACATTGTCAAAATGAAGACAAAAATGTAGAGACAAACTCATCACAGTCAGATGGAAGCTGTCCCTCTGAATTCAGTACAACTCCATCCTACCTACGAAGAAAGTGTCTAAAGTTGAATAAGCAACAAAAGCAGTCTTGTGAATCAGATAATACAAGTGAGGATTATGATGAAGGATTAGGTGAGTCAGTCAAAACCACACAATCAGAATGCCAGACTGTTGTTACTACATCTGATCAATTAGATTGTGGAGAGAATGACCAGTGGTCTGTATCTTCTTGTTCAACCGCCTCTCTACACACCTGGGGCTATCCAAAGAGCCAAAGAAGCAGTGGTTTATCAATCTTGTCAGAAATAGAGGCTGAACGGTCATTAAAGTTGTTCAGTGAGACATTAAAAACTGACTCAGTAGAGGAGCTGATACTGTAGACTCAGTCAAAAATGTGTATAGGTATTTTTTTAAATTTAAATATGGGTTTAAAGACGTAGTAGTGGTAGTATAGATTCAATCAAAATATAGTTTTCCAGCCACAGAAAGTTGTATATGTTGTTCATGTTTTTTTCCTGTAAGCATGAGAGGTTATAAGCAAATACTTTTATTTGATTTTTCACATTGTCCAGTCATGACAACAATGATCTTGGCAATGTTAGTGCCATACTGATCAAAAATAAACTTTTGTGTGCAAATATACAGATTGCATGAAATCATTTTGTGAACTTTTAAATACTAACTCTTTACACTATGAAATCTGTTTTGTATGTTACAAAGCGTAATATAAAAAAATTAAGAAGGGTTTACTGATAAGTTATGAATTATTATACAAGTAAATTGAACATTCCAGAAAGAAAGTAATGTATATTAAAAAAGTATGTTATTTCTCAGGTAGTCATAGCTTTACTGATTCATCCTTTAGTAATTGTAATTGCTCACAGTCAAGTTATTACATAAATGATCAAAGGAAATTTATCTTTATATTTAGGTGCTTTAAACGTTTGTGTAAATGTAATTAAATAAAAGAGAAACTCCTATATTCTAGCATCTGGTGCCAGGGGACACTGAAATATATAAATTTTACGGTAACATTTGTATAAAATGTAAAAGTTGGTGCTGTTAATTCAAATCATATTTTTTTTATATATGTGAATTAATAAAATATGAAACAGTGAAGATAAATTGTGTCAGTATTTGGATGTAAGAAATTTTTTACTGCATGATGCAGATGTTTTCTATGTAGAAATATTTTTTCAGCAGGCTATTTTTACTGTTTCAATTGTTCTACTATATTTTTTTATAAGACACCTTCCAGAATGTGTTATAGTGCCTTTATGATTTTAAATTTTAAAAAAAATTTCAAATAATTACTGAGTGTAATTTCTCTAAAGAATTGAAAACAGGAAAATATTTTACGCTTTAAGTATTTAGTGCAAAGTACAAACTAATACAAAGCAGAATTGTCTAACTAAAAGGTGTTTCTATATGAAAACATATTTTTTTAGAGTGACGTATTACATATGATAGATAGATAAAGTAAATTTTGAGAAACTTCTTGACTTTGCATTCCAAATCAGATGACTTTTGTTTATTTTTCTGTTACTCGAAGTGTTAGAGCAGATATTTAAGGACTGTTTTTAACATGAGAACTGATATTAGGAATTGATGTTCTTTTTGTGTGTGGTACATGAATATTCTTTAGCCATTCAAAAATATTAGGTAGCTCATGTTGCTTTTTATTACTTTACACTATTGTATTATTTATGTTAAAATTATTTGTACCATAAAAATCATGTCATACGTTTACAGAATGAAACACAAAAATGAATTGTCATTATTATTACAATGCTTTCAGACATAAAATGTGTCAAAATTATTGCTTTGTGATTTTTTTTAAGTAATTGTAAATGATTAAAATTTATATTGAAAATATTATCATAATCAAAAGCATTAGATAAACTTGTATTTTCTGTAACAGAAAAATACAAGTTTCCCATTGGAAGGACCACACCTTTTTATCGTGTATAATATGACAATCTTGTTTGAACTCAATACATTGAAGACAAAAACAACCACTTTACGTATAGCACTTGCTAGTAAATAAGTGTTGAACTGACATGTTCATTTATTAGACTGTACTATTGTTTTTATTAATGTACTATTGTTGTTGTTCTACTAGGTTTATGCTTGCAATTACAAAAAAACTTTCATGAGTAGTGTTATGTTACTTGTATCAAAGCATTAACTTTTTGACCTTGCATTTAAGATGTTTTCATAACTAAAGGCTTGTTTGTAAATATTGCTTTCATCGTAGTAATAATTCTCTTTTCATAAATCTTCATTGGTTAAAGTAATAACCTCTCTTACCAACTGCAGAGATGATGCAGTCATGCAATATTATGTTATTTTTTAGATGTTTAGCTTTAATGAGAGGACTGTTATATTTTCTCTTGCTTTTTTATAGCATTAACATATCAGCTTAACTAAAAAATAGTATTGTCATCTTTTTTGGGCTTTTTCCCAAGTTTAGTCTAAATGAAAAGAATATTGTCATTATGTGTTGTCTTTTTCCAAGTTTAGTCTAAATGAAAAGAATATTGTCATCATGTGTTGTCTTTTTTTTTCCAAGTTTAGTCTAAATGAAAAGAATATTGTCATCATGTGTTGTCTTTTTCCAAGTTTAGTCTAAATGAAAAGAATATTGTCATCATGTGTTGTCTTTTTTTTCCAAGTTTAGTCTAAATGAAAAGAATATTGTCATCATGTGTTGTCTTTTTTTCCAAGTTTAGTCTAAATGAAAAGAATAATGTCAATTTTTTTATTTTTTCTGGTTTAGAATAAATTAAAAAAAATATTTGTCTTTTTGTAGATTCAGTGAAATGAAAGAAATGATGTTGTTATTCTGTGCTGTTTTTTTAACAGGTTTAGCCTAAACGAATAAAATACTGTCATCTTATGCTTCTGTTAGAAATTCAACGTATAACTGAAATGAATATTGCAATCTTATTGTTGTAGCTGTATTGGAAAGACATTTCTACCTTATATTTATTTACAGATTTTGCTATTGGTTGAAAGTGATACTCAGATTTTATTTTATGAAAGATGTAAAATTATTGTATTTTTCTATTCTTTTTTTGTTCTCTGCTTAGCATACTAACATTGCCATTTACAAATTTAAAAGGTAGTTAAATGTTTTTTTTTTAAAGGTAACTTCTGTGTTTCTCAAGCTGCTTATTCAGTGGTTCATAATTTCGCCGCTATTGTAAGCATCCATCATTGTATGGTTACCACTGTACATATATGTTGTGCACTACAAGAGGAAGTACAAAATGTATTTTTAGTATTAAAGTGTCTTTTAATTGGATAAACGCTACAATGTGATATTGATGCTATAAAGTTATGTATCACCCACTGCATTAAAAAAAAAAAAAGGCAAATTAAGTTTCGCTGTTTCAAACGAACTTGTGGAAACTAAACCTGATGTTGACAACGCTGTTCATTTCAAGATTTCATGTCACTAAATGCACCGTTAGTCTTGTTAGATTTTTTATTTTTTTTGCACTCCTATACTTGATGAAGGCTCTGCTATTAAAATGTCTTCAACCATTTATAGACCTCAGGCTATGTAATATATATATATCTAATATTGATGAATTATTTATTACCACCACTGATTTTTCATCATCTTCGTACGACAAATGTCTATAACGAGGTGTATGGTTAAAGTCTCTACAACTTCACTAGGTTTTATCCAGCGAGAACGTCTTGTAATTCCATAAAATCTCGAACATCCTTCTCGAAGCGCCACCATCCTGGGAATTGATGCATCAGCTAATACTAAGTCAGACGCTGGCAGTGTCATTGTAATGTAATTATTCTGTGTGATAAGTTTATTTTACAAGGTGAACATACAATTTTCCTTCTTCAAACCTGTTCGAATGGTTGCAGCTGACGAATCGATACTGTTGTCTAAATATGCTCTACAAATGTGTCTACAGTGTGCTCATTGGAGTATTAATCAGGATATTAGACTTTATAAGTGCGATTGTTAGTTTCCAAATAATTGTATATAGATATTCAATTGTGACGTTAGTATGCTTATCCTTAAACTTGAAGTTAGGTCAAGAGAGGTTCTTCTATCTATCGTAACATCAAGTTTATATTTCTTCCATATTTCGCATATGATTGGAAAGTATGCTGATATATCCAAGAAAATGGTTCACACGAGATTTATATCACTAATAAACACTGAAACGGATTACCTGAAAGTTTGTCCTCAAATAATTGAATTAAAAACTTAATAGACAATTACACTGAAACGGATTACCTAAAAGTTTGTCCTTAAATAATTGAATTAAAAATTAATACAGACATTTACACTGAAACGGATTACCTGAAAGTTTGTTCTCAAATAATTTAATTAAAGATTAATATAGACATTTACACTGAAACGGATTACCTGAAAGTTTGTTCATAAATAATTGAATTAAAAATTAATTCAGACATTTACACTGAAACGGATTACCTGAAAGTTTGTTCTCAAATAATTTAATTAAAGATTAATATAGACATTTATACTGAAACGGATTACCTGAAAGTTTGTTCTCAAATAATTTAATTAAAGATTAATATAGACATTTATACTGAAACGGATTACCTGAAATTT